GAAGAAAAGAAATATGTATAAGGAATTAAAAAATAGGTTAATTAAAATAGAGAAATTAGAAGATGTTAAAATAATTGCAGTGGTAATCTCTATAAATTGATTAGTAAATATAGAAAGTATTAAATTAATTAAATAATTAAAAATTGAAATTAATATCATAAAAGAAATTAAAAACCATGTAATTAAAAACATGATGGATGTCATGGAACACTGATTCTATCACAACCAAACATATGTGGTGGAACTACATGATGAAAACTCGGGGATGGGATTAATCTCCCCTGAGCCAGGAACAATAGACACAAGTTCTATAATACTTAATTAACTATTTTATTATTAAAATAATTTTGAACGAAAAGAAAACAAGTCAATTAAAGAATAATTTAATCTTCAAAAAGACTTAATCAAAAATAAACAAGTTAATTAAAAATAGACTTAAAGCAAAACATGTCATTCATTAACTCATCAAGGAAATTGAAGACTGAATCGTCTTTCTCTATAGATTTATTTGACTGGACAACAATTACAAATACTTCTTCTTTCTTTATATAAATATAAAAAGCAATATTATTGTCATTAAATGAATGATCAGGTCCTTTATAAAAGAGTTTTTCTTCAATTGAAAGGTGATGAGTAAGATAGTCGAGTACAAGGTCTCCATATACAATATAGGCTTGTGTTGGTACACAAAGAATAGGTTGGATAATTTCAGTTTTTTGAAAATACATAAACATGATACCATCTTTTAAGTAGTCTTCAATAATAGAATGGAAATAATTTGATTGTACATGGAAATTACCAAGAATATTAGCCAAATCACCAAGAGCATTAATCCAATTTCGAATCATTTTAAAAAAAGGATATTCATTAAATGTTTTAATTGCAACAGGAATTAAATCATTACATCCTTCTAATTCACTTAAGACTAAATCTTTCCAATCTAATAATATTTTCGTACAACTTTCATACAATTTTCCAAGTTCTTTATATTCTCTCTTTTGAAGAAAAACACTACTTTGAACTAAGTTTCTTAATAACTCTAGTTCATTTAACACATTTCTCTTTAATGGAACAAGACAAATATTTTGCATATCATCAATCTCTTCAACTCTCTTTTGTTCATATTCTGTAGTTCTAGAAAAAAGGGAATTATAGACTTCACTTTGTTGAATATTAACTTGTTCAAAATAATCAATTGATTTTGGTATCTTTGGTAATATTTCAATTAACTTTTTTCTCAAAGTAATAATTCTTGAAATGTTTGTTACACATTGAACCAATGGAGAATCATCAGTATACAAATCTCCTAGTTTATTTTTTAATCCATCAAATTCTTTAACAAATGAATTGTATGAATTCAGAGGTGATCTTGGTATAAATGACAATAACGCATAATACGACTTCTCATATTTACAATGCTCAAATAATAATCCAAATAATTTAATAATACTTACTTGTTTGATTTCTCCTTCTAAATTTCTATTAACCAATCTAGCAGACTCATCAATTAACAAATTTCCTTGAAGTACTAAGTATGCTTTCATTCTATTATCTACTTCCATGTTATCTTCTTATTTTTTATTTTTTAGTTCTTTTTATTTTGTTTTATTTTTTAATTGTTATATATCCCACAACATATTTATAGAATTTACTTATAGAAAACACAATGTAAAATTTGTAATTACAAATGACGAAGATAATTCGGAATTTTAATTGATTAAAAAAAAATGATTATTTTTACGGAAAACTTAAAAATCTAAGAAGAAACTAAAAAGAAGAAAGTTATATATGTCTAAGACTATTCATCATAAGGTTATTGTTAAATCAAAAGGATTAGATACTTTTGACGATACAACAAAAACTGAAAAGAGACAAAAGAGTAGAAAAACTATGACACCAGCAGATATTATTTCTTTTAATAACACAGAAATAGAACAATTATTCAATGATATTAAAATTGGAAGAGAACATGCAAATGAAGGAATAAAACTTATTCCTTCATTAACCAGATTCTCTGATACTCTAAACGAACACCACCAACACACTGAAATTATTAAAAATTTAATGCAAAATTTAACAAATAAAAAAGGAGATCATAGAGAAGAATTTACATCATGTATGACAGCTACAGGAATAACAACGTCTTTAATTAGTTATGAAATGTCAGATAGAAATGAAAAGTTAATTGAAATAATGCAAAAGTGGAAATTATTTTTAGAAAATACAAAAGATTATATTAAAAATAGAATAGAATATGATAAATTATTTAAAGAATATAATAAAATCATTGAAAAAGTTAAACAAATGAATTCTCAAACTAAACCTGATGTTAAAAAAGCTGCTCAACTTCAAGAACAAAAAGAAGAAATTACAATTAAAACAATTAAAGAAGGTGATCAACTTAGAAAATTATATAATGAAATGTATGTCACTTTTATGAATCTTATGATGGGTTCGTGTTCTAAATATCATAACTTTATAAAAAAATCTCCAGATACATATATTAATTATCAAAATCAATTTAATCAAGGTATTGAGAAATTTAATACAGTAATTGATGAAAGTAGTGATGATGATGAAACTATAAAACCTCCTGATTGGATGAATAATAGTCCAAATTGTTTTCATATGTTCCAAGCTGAGTCAATGTATCTTGAAAGTATGAATTATTTAATACAAATTTATGCAAAAAAGATTCTATTTGATCCAAATTTAGCTTTATCGGGATTTTCTATTGATGATGTTAATTTGATTTTTAGTGGGATAGAATTAATCAGAAGATTACACTCTGGGATTTTACGTAAATTATCTCGTTGCACTCTTGAAACTTTCCTTTCTGTATATTCATCACGAGTAGCACAAATATATCAAGTGTATCATAATCATTGTTCTAAATTTGGTAAAGCATTTTCTCGATTTCATCAATGCTTAAATTCACACCAATTTAAGAATTTTGTTGAAGAAATTGCAACATCAAACAAGATTCCTCCATTAGGAGAATTGTTACGAACACCATTTATTCAGTTGTCTCAATATGTTCCAATCTTTACAAGAATGAAAAGTGAATTTACCAATAATATCGAAGATCTAGAAACTTTAATTTATGTATTTACTAGGTTATCTGGTCATTGTGAGTTAGCAGAAACAAACTTTGCAACAGCTATGGAGATGAATAAGATTAGTGGAGTTCCACCAAAACAACCACCATATCGTCGATTTTTTTCTTCTATTCCATGTTCCCTCAATAAAACCGAAGGTGTAATGTTTTTATTCAGTGATACTTTAATGTTTACAAAATCAAACAAAGAACATGAACAAGTATTTGTAGAACAATATGAAACAAAAAATATAGAAAAATTTGAAATTAATGAAAAACAAAAAACTGTGAAGATTATATTTGCAACTCGAGGAAAAAAATTACGGGATCTTGATCTTTTCTTTAATAAATTAGATATCGCACATAAATTTACTAATGAACTGTCTCAAATTGGATATTTTTATAAAAACAAAAAAATCTTTGGAGTTGACATAAAGTTAGCAACTCAACTTCATGAAGATGAAACTAGACTTATGCCAAAAGTACTTCATCATATATTTGATGCATTAGAACTCACTGCTCCATCAACAGAAGGCATTATGAGATTAAGTTCTAATGTAATAGAATTGGATGGATTAATTTACAAGATTGATGCTGGTGGAGATATTGATGATAATAGAGGAGATACTCTTCTTCTTGCTAATACCATAAAGAAATATTGCGCTGGATTACCAAATAAACTTCCATTAAAATTACAAATTACTGAAGGTGTTAGTAATATTCAAAGTATTTTACAAACTTTGGACAAATCATATTTAGCATTTATTGAGAGACTGTTCAGGGTTTAAAATTAATTGCAGATAATTCTAATGAAAATTTGATGAATGCTGAAAATTTGTCCAAAGTAATTTCTCCTAATATTTATCCTTGTGATAATACATCACTTGATATAGAAAAGTTAACTAAAACAGTCAAATTTATGATAGAGAATTATGACATAGTCTTTAGACCAATTAAAACAGAAATAAATAAACTTTATAAAGATGGAGAAACTGAACGACTAAAAAGGTTAAAATTTGAAAGTAAAATGTTACAAGGCTCTTTAAATGATAGAGACATTTCTGTTTCAAGGTTATTTGAATCGACAAAAGAAAATTCAGTAGTATTAACGCTTATAGATATCTTAAGACAAGGAGAAGCAGAAATCGAAGAAGGAAAGAAAGTATATAAAAGATGGGTTGTATTAAAAAGCAAAACAATGATGTTATTTAAAGAGAAAGGACAAGCCAAAGCAGAAATTGTTATACCATTACTTGAATGTTTTGTTACTGAAACTATGAAAGGAACTGTAATTAATATTTCATTGAATGAAAAACATTACTATTCAATTACATTCATTAATAATCACAAAAAATGGGTAAAATTAATTAAATCATGTTTGAAACCAGATTCAAAATAATAGAAAATGAATTCTAATTCATTTCTTTTCCATTAAATATTATTAAAATATGGTTATATAATTTATAATTCATTTTAAGGATTATATTAATGCAATTCTATTCGTTTTTAAAGATTAGTTTAAATACTATAATATTTTATAAGATTAATTAGCTTCCGTATGTTGTGGATGATTATTCACATTCCTAAACTTACACAAAACAACAATAATAATAAAAGTTGATGATGTTATAAATGATAAAATACTTGTTACTAATCCAAAAACCCCAGTCATAAAGAAAGTTAAACAAGACATAATAATAAACCATATTGAACATACAACTCCATTTTCTAATATTAATGTAATAAATGGAATTGAACGTACAATTCCAAATCCTGAAATTAATACAGTAACTAATCCACATACTAATAAAACAATTGCAACTAATACAACTGCAAGTGTTGGATTTGTTTGTAATCCATCAACCTTAAATGACTCAGGTTTGTTGTTAACAAAGTGTAATAACCCAGTTAATGTTAATACTATTTTATTATTCCTTATTTAAAGTCTTATGTCAAATAACTTAACAAACAAATACCTATTACGCATAACCAAGCAAGAAACATGTTTTTAAGAAATGTGCCTATATTCATGGTGATTCTAAACACCATAATTGTTTAAATTAAAGTTCTCATTATTATCACCCCATCTATTTATTCTTTGTCTCTTTTTCTTTTTCATTCCAAAATCTCCCGGTGTTTTTTATTTTTCTTTCCCCATTTCTTTATTATTTCATTTTAACAAAAATAAATAATGTTATAAATATCAAACTATTAATGAGATCTTATCAGAAAAACTGTAATAATAGTTTACAATGTCTGACAAAGAAACCATTTCTAAAGACACTTATACTGAACAAAAAAAACCAACTATAGACTATTTCTTTTTTGTTCATGGATTATTAGCACTGTCCATTAATCCAAAAGAACATTGGGCACCATTTGCTAATGCATTAAAAAATGAGTTACAAACAAATTATATCATGGTTTGTGTTAAAAATAAGGGGTTGTTATTATAATAATAAGTGACAATAAAAATTTACAGATTTAGAAATATTGTAAAAGTAATAGTGAAAGGGTAAAAACATTAGATGGTATTGAAGTTGGTGGTTTGCGTATAGCAAATGAAATATGTGGGTATTTAAAAAGAAGTCAACAGAAGAGAGGAGATGAAAAGTATAGAATTCATTTTATTGGTCATTCTCTTGGTGGGTTATATCTTCGATTTGCAATACCTATTTTATTTAAACGTGGTATCTTTAATAATTTAAATTGGATTCCATTTAGTTTCATGACATTAGAAACTCCTCATCTTGGAGTTCAAAAACCATTGAATAATGGAAGTTTTGATAGTATGTATAGGGTTATATCAGATGTTGTTTTTGAAGGTTTAACAATGAGTGAATTACAACTCCAAGACCGACCATTTCCACCATATGATCCAACGTGTTTAAAAGAATATCCACTGTTATTAAGAATAGTTGAAAATGATATTATTGCTCCATTAAAAGAATTCAAACATCTTACGTTAGTCCAAAATATAAGATTTTCTTTTCAAGTACCTTATGTATCATCTTCAATTGATAGAGCAATTCCTTATGATCGAGAATTTCTCAAAGACCAGTTCTTATTGGATGGTTTTGATTTTCCTAATCAATACAATGACTTAATAAGTGGATGTAATAAACACTATCAATTACAAGATGAAAGAGGTGAAATCTTTGAAGAAAGAATTGATGGTTGTGTAGTTTATGATCGAATTATAAAACAATTAAATACATTAAATTGGAGAAGACTAAATGTTCATTTTAGAACTAAATCATCAGATGCTCATATATTCATTATGGGTCAAATGAATAGAAAAAGGCTATTTAAAAATTGGGGAAATGATGACATTGCTTCATATCTTGATACGTTATGCAAATTAATTAAACGAGATATAGACATTGAAAATGGTGATATTGAAATACTTTCACCAATACAAGATGAACCCAAATCACAAGAGATTATTCAAAGTGCACAACCCTCTACTGAAGAAAAACTGATTGATATACAAAATCCAGAAACTCTACCTTTAAAAGATGAAACAAATGAAACAAATCATCCACAAATACTTTAATTATTATTATTTTTTTTAATTTAATTTTAATAAAAAATAATTCTAAAAATTAGAAAATAAAAGTTTTATTGTTTAAAGGAATACATTATTATTAATAAGTATATGAAAGAAATTATTGTTTTTTGATTTATCCATAAAATTTGTTTAAGAGCATGTTGAATTACTAATAACTTCTGATAATTTAATAATAGAAGTATTCTACATCTTAAAAATCTACTTCTTTTTCTCTGTTTTATAATGTGCCTTATTTCTATTTTATTAATACTAATGAGTCATACCTACGGATCTTGTGATTTAAATTGTATTAAATGTGAAAGAAATATTTGTACTTTATGTGATGATGGTTTTACTTTAGATAACGAAGGTTCCTGTGCACAGTGCTTGGATTACTGCAAAATATGTTCCTCAGCTTCAATTTTAACTTGTAACTCTTGTTTTCCTAATTACTATCTTAAAGATAATTCTTGCATTCCTTGTTCCAATAAATCAAATTGTCAAACTTGTTCTACTAATTCAAGTGAGTGTTTAGTTTGTGAAGACGGATATTATCTAAACGAAGGGGAGTGTTTATCTTGTTCCTTAAAAGCATGTAAATTATGTAATTCAATGACTGGAGAGTGTTCGTCATGTTTACCAGGATACTATTTAGATAGAGATTCATGTATTGAGTGTTCAAATAAAGAAAATTGTAAAACATGTTCTACTGATTCAAATAAATGTTTAGTCTGTGAAGACGGATATTATCCAAATGAGGGGGAGTGTTTATCTTGTTCTTCAAAAAATTGTGGAGATGATTGTAATACTTCTGATGGAACATGTACTACCTGTATTAATAATTGTTATCCTGAAAATGGTATTTGTAAAGAGTGTTCTACTCTTGATTCAAATTGTCAAAGTTGTTCTGCTAAAAGTGGAGTTTGCCTAAAATGTCAAATAGGATTTAACTTAGCTAGTGACCAGACCAAGTGTGTTAAATGTGAGAATAATATTGGTTGTGAAATTTGTGATCCAACATCAGAAAAGTGTGGTGCATGTAAAGACAGGTATTACCTTGACCCATCTTCTCATCTTTGTGGTTCATGTTCATCACATTGTATGAAATGTGTTTCTAGTAGTAAGTGCATTTCTTGTGAAGACTCTTATATACTTTATCAGGGTTCTTGTGTTCAAAAAGAGTGTGATACGACAACAACAGAAAATATTGATATTACATGTGGTGAAAACTGTAACTCTCTAATAACAGACAAACCAAAATGTTCACATATCAATACACCAGCTGAAACATGTGATAAAAGTAAACAACGATTAAATGATGAAGAGTGTATCCTTTGTAAAGACGGGTATTTATTAAATTCTAATAGTTGCATTGAATTATCAAATTATGTTCAATGTAATAGAGAAGTTTGTTTTACTAAAGAAGGTTTTTACCAAGATGTCTCTTCAAAAGAGATCAAATCGTGTCTTAATGAATTTGAAGTTGGTAGCACTTCTTTTTGTAGAATTTATAAAGAGAAAGTATATCCTCTTAAATGTTCAGATAAATATTATTATTTAAATAGATACTCAGATTCAGTTCAATGCGTTTCATCAATACCAAATTGTAAGAAATACATTGGAAATGAATGTGTTGAATGCGAATCTCATTATTATATTGAAGGAGGTATTTGTTCTCCTTGTAGTGAAGAATGTTTGGAATGTGAAGGAAGTGCAAATACTTGTATTTCATGTGACACTACAAAAAGATACAAAACCAACCAAACTTGTAAATTAAGAACAGTCAATGGGGTTGATATATGTGAAAGAGTTGATGTTAATTTAACAACTTGTAAAATATGTGGTGAAAATTATTATTTAAGTGATACTGGTGAATGTATTGAAACTGTAGTACCTAACTGTGCTAAACAAGTTGGAACTGATTGTGAAAAATGTGTTAGGTCATTTGTTAAAAAGAACAACCAATGTATTAAGTGTGACGGTAGTGTCACAAATGGACTTTGTTATTATCCAGTAGGATTGAAAAGTAATATTAAAACAGAAATAGAAAATAGTTGCATGGTAAGAAATGAAATTGGATGTGTTCGTTGTCAAACTGGGTATTATCTTGATTCTACTACTACAACATGTAGAGCATGTAAAGAAGAGTGTAGTTCTTGTACATCATTAAATCAATGTAGTTCTTGTAAACCAGGATATTATTTAAGTAATGGTGATTGTGTTTCATCATCAGGAAATTGTAATAGATTTATTATAGGTAATACTCAAAGTTGTTTAGAGTGCAAAGAAGGATATTATAGAAATTCTTCATTAATGTGTGATGTATGTCCAGAAGGATGTCGTTGTGTAAAACCTGATTTCTGTACTTCATGTTTTACTGGATATTTCAAGACTCCTGATATGCTTTGGTGTGAATCAACAATTAGTTTAACTCATTGTACAAATATTACAGTGGAAGGTTGTACAGAATGTGAAGAAGGTACATATCTTTCTAATGGAAGATGTAAAAAATGTGGGATAGGATGTAAAACATGCAAAGAAAGTGGAGATGATTCATGTACATCATGTAAAGAAGGATTTATCAGGTCATCAGAAAGCAAAATATTCTCATGTACTTATTACACCAATGTATCAAACTGTTTACAGGAAGAGAATGAGCATTGTGTTTTATGTTCTAGAAGATATAAATTGAGTGATAATAGGTTAAAATGTGAAGAAAAATCAATGACAGGTATAATTACAGTGTTTGCTGTGTCGTGCATTTTAGTATTATTAATTATTATCATCATGACCCAATTAATTGGATTATCGTGTATTGAAATATCAAGAAGAAAACACAATTCAAAAGTTGAATGCAAAACTGTATGTATTTTTAAGATGAAATATAGTAATTTAAAATTCTCTCTTATTAATGAAAAACCATCAATAGTAACAAATAAAAGTATTATTCGATTTGATCTTGATAATGAAGTACTTCCAGTAGGTAAGGAATCAAGAGATTTGGTTTGTATTGGTAATAATGGAAATAATAAAATTAAAATTCAAACCACTTTAAAAGAATCAAATGACAAGTACCTATTGGAGATTCAACCACCACTGGTTGTACTTGATGGAGGGTATGCGTGTGAGTTTGAAATTTTTATTACACCATATTGCACAACAAGGATAGAAGACAAATTGTCTATTCTTAGCTTTGATATGAAAGAAGGAATTGAAACTCTTAGTAGTATTATTATTAGAACGGAAACAGAAATTAGTACAAGATTAGATTATGATGAATTAATTCAAGAAAAGAAAATAGGAGAAGGATCATTTGGGGTCGTCTTTAAAGGGACTTATAGAGGACGTATTGTTGCTATAAAAAAAATAAAAGAATCACAAAGTACTGAAAAAGCATTGATTGAGTTTGAAAAAGAAGCTACTATGTTGGACAAATTTAGAAGTGATTATATCGTTCATTTTTATGGTGCAATATTCATTCCAAATAAAATTTGTTTAGTAACAGAATATGCAGATTATGGATCTCTTCGTGATTTAATTGAGAAGAAGAGTCACAACTTTGTATCACATCATTTAAGATTGAAAATCTTATTAGACGCCTCAAAAGGGATTCAGTACCTACATGAAAATGAAATGCTACATCGTGATATAAAACCAGACAATGTTTTAGTATTATCACTGGATGATAACATTACTATTAACGCTAAATTAACTGACTTTGGTTCATCAAGAAATGTAAATTTATTAATGACAAACATGACATTCACCAAAGGAGTTGGAACACCTTCTTATATGGCACCTGAAATATTAAATAGACTAAAATATAAAATGCCAGCAGATATTTATTCATTTGGTATGACGATGTATTCTGTATTAAATTGGTCAGAGCCATTTCCAAAACAAAGTTTTAAATTTGCATGGGATGTAGCAGAATTTATTGAGTCAGGAAACCATTTACCTCAATACAATATAAAAGATGAAGAGTATGCTTTGATAATGCGGTGCTGGGAAAATAACCCCAAGTCCAGAGAAATTATACAAAATGTTGTTAAAGACCTAGAGTCTCTTGTCATTAACTCCAATAACATATAAAAAGAGTTATATTAAAACGGCTTAACTCTTATCATCATTTCTTTGTATATTTATAAATCTAACTTAATTAAACTAACATCTTAATATTAATTTAATGTTTGAAAACGATAATAGAAAAGAAACATCTAAATATTTGAGAAATAAAAAAGAAATTAATTAAAAGGAGTATAATGAAAAAAACATTTAAGATAAAATAAAAAACATAATATAATAATATTTTTGTTGTTATGATAAAGAAAAAAAGGTGAAGTTTAGGAAATAACTAAAAATAAAATATAAAACTAAAGTAAAAAGATATTTTTAACTTAAAATAAAAATTGCGGAAAAAAAATCAGGGTGAAGTTTGAGTATTAATTTGTACTATAAAAACAATGAACTGAAACATTTATTTCATTGATTCAAATAAAATATGAGTTTAAAAAGAATTGTTATGCTAGGAACTGGTGCAGTTGGGAAATCTGCAATTACACTACAATATGTTTCACATTACTTTGCTAATAATTATAATCCTACTATTGAAGATTCATTTAGAACTTCTATTACTATTGGAGATGATAGTTATCCAATAGAAATATTAGATACTGCTGGTCAAGAAGAATTTGATGCTTTAAAGGATACATATATTAGAAGTGGTGATGGATTTGCAATTGTTTATTCTATTACATCATTAACCACTTTCTTAGAGGCTAATGAAATTAGAGAACGTATTTATCGAGTTCTTGACAAAGACCCTACTCAACACATCCCTATTTGTTTAGTTGGTAATAAAAGTGATTTAGAAAGTGAACGTACTGTATCAAAAGAACAGGCAGAAGAATTAGCTCGTTTGTGGGGTATTTCATTTATTGAGACAAGTGCTAAAAAGAAATCAAATATCAATGAGTTGTATCAAATTATAATGAAAGATGTTATTGACACAAAAACTAAAGAGGACGAAGAACAAAAGAAGCTCAAAGAACATGAACCAACTACTAAGAAATCATCAAAAAAACAAAGAAATGGTAAAAAGTCCTATAAAAAAATTGGATGTTCTGTTATGTAAGGACGTTAATTCTTTACTTTTATAGAGCGATAGTTTAGACTATCAATTTACATAGCCTTGTTGCTTTTATTCAGTGTTTTTTTTAAATTTATTATTATATTTTTATTAAAAGGAAAATGATTATTAATGAAAAGAAAAAAAACTAAACAAAAAATGTTAAGTTAAATAATAAAATATTTGGAATGATAAATTAAATATAATTTACAAAATTTACCTTGTTATTGTTATAAAAAACAAAATACTATTTAGCATAACTACTTTATTCAATATATTCAAACAAAAAATATACTAAAGGATTATTAATCAAAAAAAGAAAATACTTGTTAACCCATATTCTAATGAACAATTTTGTAGGTATTAAAAAAGTAAAGGGTTGTTATTTTATATAAAATGAGAACAATAATATTTTCAATTTCATGATTTTTAATTGAACAATAAAAGGGGAAAAAAAAAGAATAAAAACTATAAGAGTGAAATATCTTATAGTAAATATAATAAAATTTGTATTTGTTAGTTCTATCATCTTTTTATTATAAAAATAATAAAAGAACTATAAAAATTAATTAAGACAACTCATTAATGGAAGAAGACGAAGAAATCACATTTGACCCAACAAAATATTCTGATATTGAACCAATTTATTGTACGACTCCGCCAGTATGTTCCATTAATTATTCAAAAATTTTTAAAGAAGTAATGGGATATTATCGAGCACTAATGGCGAAAGGAGAGTTGTCAGAGAGGGCATTAGAAATTACAGGTAAAGTGATTGAAATGAATAGTGCAGATTATAGTGCATGGTATTACAGAAGAAGGATATTAAAAAAAATAGAAGGAACATTTGATATAAATAAAGAGTATGAATTTATTGAAGACTTAGGTGATAGTATTTGTAAAAATTATCAAGTTTGGGGTCATAGACAATATCTTGTTGGATTAACTGGTAATTATCTTAAAGAATTGGATTTTACTGATAAAATGCTTGAAGATGATAATAAAAATTATCATTGTTGGAGTCATAGAGTTTGGGTATGTAATAAATTTAATTGCTGGGTTGGTGAATTAGCATATACTCAAAAAATGATTGAAAAAGATATTAGAAATAATTCTGCTTGGAGTCATAGATTTTATACTCTCAAATCATTAAATTTATTAAATGACTTAAATCAATTAAAAGGAGAATTTAATGTTATTGAAAAATCATTACATCAATCATCTAACAACGAAGCCGTATGGACTTATTTAACTGGATTATATGAAAATAGTCAAAACATTGAATTTAAACGTGAATGTGAATCTTTTGTTGAAAGAATGATTACTGAACGTCAGTTCTGTGTTTATGCAAAGATGGCTTATGTCAATATCTTTAAATCTTCTCAAAAGTGTATTGAATTAGTTTTAGAATTACGTGATCGTTTGGATCTTGCTCATCAAAGTTATTGGGATTGGTATTTAACAAAAATTACTAATCATTAATCTTTCTTATTTTTGTTATTTATTCTAAAATTTGTTTTTCTTCTCTTCTTAACTTTTCCCTTTTTAATCATTCAAAAGGTTTTTTTTGTTTTTCTCTTTATATATTAAAATAGTGTTATATATTTCAAAATAAACAAAGAAAAAGAATCAAATGAAACAACAAAAGTCAGAAACAAAATTACATAGATGGAACACATCAAAGAATTACAAAAAGAACGTTTAAGAATGGAAAAACGACTTGAGGAATTAACAAAATATTTAAACTCTCCTGGAATCAAAGATTTTAAAGAAGTAGATGAAGAAGGATATCCAAATCCAGATGGTGATATGATTATATCTCTAAGAAAGATTAAACATGAATTTAATTGTCTTAAAACAGATTATAAGAATCTAGTAGATGAATTAACTCAATCATTATATCAAATCCATGAAGAAGCATTACGTTATGAACAAACTAATCAACAAGGAGAAAAAATAACATATGACGTCCAACCATTAGCTATTATTAAAAGAATTGATTCTGACTCTCCAGCAGAAAAAGCTGGTTTACAAGAAGGAGATATTATTATTGCTTTTGGTGGATATAAATTAAAATCTGATGATAAACCATTACAAAAAATAGCAGAAATTACTAATCAATATACTGGAACAAATGGAATTGAAATTGACGTAACAAGAAAAGGGGAAATATTAAGAACAAAATTATATCCAGACCAATACAATGAACACCCTCATTGTGGGTTTTTTATAATTCCTTACTAAATAACTCACACATATAAAAAAATGAAGTTAAATTGAATTAAAAATCAGTAAATTTAGTTTAAAAGAACTCTTTTTGATTGTGCCTCTTTTAATTCATTTTCAGTAAAAGTAATACCAACCCTTGCTTCTGCATGAAAAGGATGTCCCATTAACTGAATTCCTGTTGGTCTTTGATATGGATTATATTTGAGGACTGTGTTAAGTAATTCAATTAATCCTTGAGGATATGAATAAACAGATAATACAGACTCTATTCCAACACCAGTTACTTGAGGTGTTCTAAATACAGATGTATTTCTGTTCATAGCATAAATTTGTTCTGCTGATGGATTACCTAATACTTTCATAATTTTTTTTAATTGATCAGTACTATTATCACCTCTAAACAATGGCTTTCTCATTACCATTTCTGCAACAACACAACCAAATGCCCATATATCAACAGCGGTAGAATAATGTGTACAATCAAATATTAATTCAGGTGCTCTATAATACCGAGAACAAATATAACTAATACTTGACCCTTTAGGATCAAGTTGTTTTGCACTTCCAAAATCACATAATTTTAAAGTATTGTTATCTAAGTCAACTAATACATTTTGAGGTTTAATATCTCTGTGACATATTCCTAATGAATGAATATATGTTAATGACCGAATAAGTTGAAATGAAAATGATTTAATTTGTATATTTTCTAATTTTTTTTCAGAGATTACTTGATATAAATTATAAGGCATATAATCCATAACAATATTTAAAATATAATCATCTTTATTATTTGGTATTTTTGAGAAAAATGAATCTTTTAACTCTAGTACATTGACATGATGTAGTAATTCCATAATAGGTAATTCTCTATTCTATTTTAATTACTTTTTAATTGTTTTTTTTACTTTAATAATAGATTGTGTTTATAACAAACTTTATAGTGATGGTCTTGTACAACTCGTTTTAATGCTACTGTTTCTCCTTTAGAATCTTTTGCAACAACAACAATTCCAAAAGTTCCAAATCCAACAATGTCATCGACTTTGTATTCATTTTTTTCTGAAGTTAGCATTAATCCTTTTTGTTCTCCAAAGACGGCTAATGGATTATTTTTGTGATTATTGTACGTAGTCATATCGTTTTATTTTTTTAAGTAATTTTTGTTTCTTTTCCTTCAAAAATCTAGTTTGTTTTATTTCTTTTTTATTCTTAAAAATAAAGTTAATTACTTATCAAACCCTTCTATTATCTTAAAACATCTTAAAACAAATTTCTTCTTGTTTGGAACAAACATTCATTCGTTAAATTTTTAATTACTAATGAAATTTCTGTACTGGTCTCAGGCTCATTTGTATTTAATGAGAATAAATAAAAAATGTGCTATCAATATCTATAAGATATTCATCACTTTCTGCAAAGTATAAAGAAAAAATTATATCATCTCCTTCTCCACCTCTCTTACAACAACGTCAGGTTAGCTTACTTACTCCATTAGTACGTAATACAAATATAAACGTATTAAGGTTATTACAATAACCAAACTCATTAATTCTAATTGGAGCCTCAAGACAATACTTAAATAACTCATTACTAATAGGTTTAAAAAGGAGTGCAACATGTTCTCTTCCACTTAAAACATTTTTAATAAAACATTGTCTACTGTTGTAAATCATTATCATAACATTTATTATGTAATTGACTTTCTTTATACATTATACTATTTATATTAAACATTGTTAGTGTAGTCACTGAATAATTATTAAATAGGTACATAATTAATTTAAATCATTCACCATATTGACATGCAAATAGATGATTGATAATATCATTTTAAAGAATCACAAAAATATTTTAAATTACTAATCATTTGATTTATTTCTTTCTTCCATTAAATCTCGAAATAATTCTTTTCTTAATAAAAATCTAGAAACAATAAAAAATATCACTTTTAATTTACTAAAAATTAAGCTTTAACTTGTTTCTTTGAACCCTTAGCTGGTTTCTTTTCAGCTTCAGTTGGGGCAGCAGTAGCGTGTTTAGCTGATCTAGTATAGATCCAAATGTGATTATCAACTTTGACTGGAACGATCAATTCTTTCTTTTCAAGATCTTTAAGAAGAATTTTAGCAAGGGAACATGTGATTTTCATTCTATCAGCAACAACAGCTGGTGTAATAACTTTCATTGATGGAACTTCCTTAGTACATTTGTCAAGAGTAGCTTTATCAAATAAAACAGCGTTGTTTAACTTTTCCTTAACTTTAGTCTTTGACCATGACTTCTTTGGAGCTTTTCCTCCTGATGATTTTTTTGGTTTAGTTAAAGCACCTTTCTTTCCTGCAGCAGCTCCTTTTCCTTTAGCGTCCTTGGGTGGCATGAATCTGACAATCCAATTTCTTGTTCTTTTTTTGTTTTTAGTAATTTTTATTAAGTTATAATTTTATTTAAACTATTTAAACCCTTTTTCTAAAACTATTATAAATATAATTATTTTTTATTAAATTTACTATTTTCTTATGATAACCACAATAATCAACTTGAATATTATTCTTTATCTTATAACAAATTTTTGAATTAAATTTTGTACAATAATTCTTTCTTAATAAATTTTCATTTCTTAAAAATTTTACGTATTTGAAAATGTAGTTGAAATAAATTGTATAATAATCACTTAGTTTCAATCAAAAATCATTCTCATAAACAGATGATGTATTCTCTTGTTCAGAAACATTTTTCGAACTAATAGGTGTAACTTGGCATGTGCTAGTTTGTAAATTTGTTGAAGAAGATTTATTTGTAGCTTTTACACGAGAAAGTATTCCACTTAACCTTACATTTGTTTTACCCCCCATAGCACTCATAATCATTCCACTATTTTCTCTACTTTCACGTTTAAATTTTACAGAAACGTCTCTTCGTGTGATATGATCACCGAGTCGTTTTTGGATCTTTTCAAAATCTGTTCCGAAGATTTTTAAAGCCTGATAGAATTGATAAGTTTCTTCAGTAGACCAAACATGGTTTTTCTTTCGTTCTAGTTTATCAGTTTTACGGTGTTGTTGGATAACTTCAGTTACCCCTTTTGGTTTTTTTTCATTATCTTCACAGCGCCCAACACAATATTCATCTTCGAATTTAAGTTGAACGGGACGAGACATAAGTGTTTTTTTAAGATTTTCAAATAACCTTTTTTTTCTTATTAAGAATAAAGTATTTTATTATATTTTATAGTTTTATTTTAAAAAAAAAAGAAGATATTATTTTGTTTATAAAGAAGTTACTTTTTCAATTAAAGAAGAACACAAAGAATTAAGTGATGTGTATTTAAGAATTGAAAGATCCTCTTCTTCTTGGTTTGAAGTTGCACAAATAATTGGAATTGAAGGATATAATGATCTAATTGTATCCCTATTTAATTTAATTAGTTGATCATCAACGAGAATAATATAGTTAGGAATGATTTCTCTTTTAACTCCTTCCCAAAAATCAATACAATTAAAAGAAGAAATATCGTTATTTAATTTTTCAATTAAATTTTCCAAATTTGATAAGATGAAAATAAATTGATTGTTTTGACTACAACCTTCTTTTTTCTTTTCGTTTTGTTTTGTTAGATTAATTTCTTTTTCTTCTTGTTTTTCTTCTTCTATCTTTTTATCAGTTTTAATTAATTCATTGATTAATTGAGATGAATTTATTTGTTTTTTTAAAATTTCTTGAATATCATCAAATTCATATTCTAAACTTGAGATATGTTGTTGAATTTCAGATAATTGATGACTTAAATCTTCGTAATTTTTATTTTGTTGTTCAATTTTATTATTATTTATTACTTGAATTTCTTCTAATTTATTTTCTTGAAAAGAAGATAATTCGTGTGAATTATTTTGAATTGTTTGATAAATAGAGTTTGTGAGGTCTTTAATTTTAACATTAATACTATCTAATTTTTCATTAAAATATAATTCATCGCATTTTAATAATATTTCTTGTTCTAATTCATTAATTTTATTATTTTGTTTTGTTTGAATTTCTTCAGTACTTGTTTTATCTTTTATTTGACTTTCTTTTATTTCTACTAAACTAGAAGTATTTTTAATAATACTATTATTTAGTTTGTTTATTTGTATTTTTAGTTCATTCAATTCATTTAATAAATAATCTAAATCATTGTTTTCATTTATTTCTTGTACTTTTTGTTGTGATAAGTCATCACCTTGTTCCAAAGAAGAAGGAATAGAATCATTATTTTCTGTTTGTTGTCTAATAACTTTTTCCTTTTTTTTTTCTTCTTCGTCTATTTCTTCAGTGTTATATATAGCAAATTTTTTTATTGATTTTGAACTCATTAAATTTTCATTTCTTAAACGAATTTCTTCTTGTCTTCCATCAAGAAACAGAAAAATAATTATTGTAGAATCTCCTAAATACATAATTTTAGAAACTTTAGTAATACTTTGTGGTGTTACTTTTCCAAATAATCTTAATACTCCAGAGTATGTATTTGTTTCATGTTTTAAAGTTACTTTAAATGAATTTAAATATCCTTTTGTATTTTCAGCAATAACATCTATAACATCATTATTGTATTTCAATGTTACTGTGGTTTCTGTCATTTATAATTTTTCAGTTCCTTAAAATAGTTTTATTTTATTAAAAAAAACTATAAAAATTCTTTTAAAAACTCATTTATTTTTTTATTTTAAATAATAATGTTTTAATATGTCTTTTGATAAATTAAATTGTATTATGACACTACGTATCATTGATGGTATTATGTTGATACTCTAGTATTACATTATCTTTTAATAAAACAAGAAATAAGAATTTAAAGATCTTCATTTAAGTATGTTAACTGATACACAAAGTTAGTTATTTTTAACTTATTTGATTAAAGGAATAATAGAATGAACAATTTATTGACATGTAGAAATAGGGGCAGTTATTACAGGTGTAGGAATTTTCTTTACATTTCTAGGAATTGTATTTTTATTTGATCGAGGATTTCTTACATTTGGGAATATTTTGTTTATTTGTGGTATTTTCCTTGTGATTGGTGTTCAACAAGCATTTGCATTTTTCTTTCAAAAGAAAAGGGCAATTGCAACATTTTTTTTCTTCCTTGGAGTTTTATTAATACTATTTAAATTTACATTTATTGGACTATTTATTGAGTTCTTTGGATTTTTAAATCTCTTTGCGTTTGTTTAATATTGTTATTAAAGAGAATAGATTTAAAAGATATTGAATTATATTAATTATTAGTAACTTTATTCCTGTTGTACTTGCATTTTTAAGAAGAATTCCATATATAGGAGAGTTGTTGAATATGGGATGTATTAAACAATTTATTGATAGAACTTCACCAGATTATTGTTTACCAGAATAAATGATTTTATTAAATTTATATTAAAATTGATTTATATTTCTTGTTTTTAATAGAAGTTAACAAGAATACAAATTAAATATAAAAAAAAATAAGAAAGAATTAGAAATAAATAAATAATTGATAATAAAAAGAATGAATTAAATTTTATTTTCTTGTAATATCTTTGAAATAGTAATTCTTATATTTTCATTTTTAATACCAAATAATAAGAATTGACTACATAATGCTAATATTACATCTTTTTCTCTTTCTCCTTTAATAAGTTCTAAAGCATAAGGTTCATCTTGCATTTGTAAAACTAATCCTAATCTTTTACGTGAGTTTTGGATCATTTTAAGGAATTTATTTCTAATATCTAATTGTTCTACATGGTGTGCAGTTAGTGCAAGTAATTCACATGCAAAAGGTTCTAATTTTTTAATAGAAAGGAATTGTTCAAGTCTTTTCTTTTGTTCATCCTTATTACCAATTTCTTCTATTACAGCAATTTTAGCACGAAGTATAATTTTTTCATCTACTTCCATTGTTTGTTTAAAGTTATTAACATTCCTTTCTATTTCTTTTTGATCCATTTCAAAACCTCGATAGAATGACATACATTGTTGATAGATAGAATCACTAGTAACTCCACTAATATTTTCACTACTTTTAATAATTTTTTGAGCCATTTCTTTATAAGACTTATCTCCATGAATTTCCCAAATCCATGTAGATTCATCTAAATAAGTTCTTTGTAAGAATTGAACTCCTGTAGAAAATTGAGATGTTGCAATACTAATTCTCATTAATTGGTCTTTATTTATTTTTTGATTATTTAATAATGATTCAAATAATAAATATTGATCACTCCATCTTTGAAATAAAGCAAATGATGATTGTTGAATAACAGTATCAAATTGTGCACAGAATTTAAGAATATCTAAATTACCATCAAGAGTTTGAATAATACTATTACAAGGTGTTTCAAGAATACTTCTCAATTGTGGTAATCCATTAAAATCAATTACATCATTATTAATCATTACTTTATTAAGTAATGAACAAAAACTATATGAATCACTATAAGCAATACATATTTTTGCAAGATATGTTAAATACATATGTCTTTGTTTTTGAGTTAAACTTGTTGGTAAATTACGAATAATCATATCACGACAAATATTAGAAATTGATGCTATTTCACAAATTATTTCTATTTGTGGTTTCTTTAAACAAACACTAATTACTCTTAATAATGATTGTTGTGATAATTGATTCATATGTTGTTTAAATCTTAGAATATCAGAATCAATTCCACATGATATTCTTCTTGCTTTTCTATAACACCATTGTTCTTCTAATGGTTCAATAGACATATCACATTCTATTGACCAAACATTACATAAAGAAAAAAGATTAAGAGATACTAAAATACATTGAACTGGATGTCTATAAAATTCAGAACATTTTTTAATATGATTATGTAATGGATCTTTAATTCTACATCGTTCAATAGATGCAAGATTATAAAATTCTTTATAAGTCATCATACATCCATTATTATTCATTGTATGTAATAAACGAAGTAATTTAACAATTGTTTGCATAAATGGAGATCCTTTCTTAGCATCTTCTGGAGATGCAAGCATTAATCCATAAGATGCACATCTCATTAATTGAATTTGACGTTCATCAGATGGTGGAAGAGATAATGCAGCTTTACAAACTGTTTCTATTGATTCATAAACATGTTCAGAAAATTTATTTACAAATGATGCATCTTCTGGTTTAATAAATGATTGCCAAAGATAAGAAGCAGAAGAATTTTGATTTAATTTTCTTAAATCAGGATCATATGGACAATATATTACATTAACATATTTTTTCTCATTTTCAATTTCTTCTAAACAATGAAATCTAACTCCATCAACTTCTTGAGTTATACAATATACTTGATCTATAGTATCTATTAAATATTCATCAGTTTCTGTATTAATTGAATGAATTTGAAAAATATTTGGATATATTTCAACTCCAAATAAATCATTATCAAGCCAAAAAAGTCTATTACTAGATCCAAGATGTGCTGTTTGATCAAAATTATATTCATATATTAATTGTAATGTATAAGTATTTTTTGGAACATTAATCATCTTTTCTTTATTATTTGGATCTTTTATTTCAGTAATTCCTTTTATAATTTCAAATTTATAAATATTAATTTCAAAGTTTTGTGTTTTAGTATCTTTTTGTAATGTTAATAATTGACTTCCATCATAACTAAATCCATATGATAATATTTCTAGATTTTTTTTTGTTTCACTAGAGAAATTTAATGGTAAAGAATTAAGATTTGGGAATTTAAAATAAAAAAATAAATTTTCTGCCATATAAGCAATACCGTTTTCATTTAAAAATATCCCAATTAATGTATTTCCAAATCTATTATAATGTAATAATATTTCACTTGTTTCAGGAACCATTTTTCTTGTAAATTCAATTTTATCTGTTTTTAAATTAAAGATTCCTGTTATAACAATAGATCGTTTAATTCGTTCTTGTTTTTCTGGATTAATTACTTCTACTCCAAGTAATAATACAATACCTAATCCATAAATATATGCATTTAATAATTTTGGATTTCCTTGTCTAAATTTTGTTTTAGAATATGTATCATCAAGAACAACTAAATTTCCATCTGTTGTATAAATATGAATAAATCTATTTCTTGTTATAACAACTATTCGATAATCATCTAACCATCCTGCTTTATAAATATTATCTCCACTTTCTAATTCAATTATTTCTATATCATTTATTTTATTTCCTTTTCCATCAGCAATAGAAATACTTGGTTTACTTTTTCCTCCACTACTAATTTTATTTGGATCTGGATAATATAAAATTGGTCCTCCTGATTTACTACAAACATAAATATGATTTTCTCGATTAATCATTTTTACTTTATTTACTTTGTCTGTATAAATAACTGCTTTTAATACTGTTTTTGATTCAATTAAATCTGGTTCCATTTCTAAACTATTTTCCTATTCTTTTTTAGTTCTTTTTTTTTTTTATTTTTTGAAAAATATTCTTCTTTAACAACAAAAATTCAATTTCATACAATACCTCTTTTTATTCTTCTTATTATCTTTTATCATTTTAGTAATGGCGTTGTTTCAGTAGTTGGTGATTGTTGTTTATTCTTAATAACAGGAGATACAACACCTGCATGTGTTGTGTTTATTGTTGAGTTGACTTTAACTTCAATACCTTGTTGTTCATTTGGAAGAACTTTTGAAGGAGAAACTTGAGGATGTGGTAAACACGTTTGAGATGTTGCTGTTTTATGAGGGTTTTCTGATGAGATTTCATATCGAAGCTGAACGTTAGTTTGTCATAATAAAAAGAAAAAGAAAATTACAAACAAATGGAGGTTGTTCTGTTGTAATCAAACACATTGAATGACCTGATGGTAAAGTTGATGAGTTGTTATTTAAATATTCGTTGACACACCGAATTCCATCTGATGTCCCATGGTACATTGTGTGTGTTGTTTTACAACATGGGATACGTCCAGTAACAAGCACTGATTTAGTGATACATGATTGAAGTAGTAAATTGATTGAATGAATATATTTAGTATATTCCATAGGTTCAATTTTACCATTTAGTTCATTAGGAATGATTTCACTAAATGATAATGGACAATGAAATGTGTATGTCACAGATGGAATGATAATGATGGTTTTACTCATTATTTTAATTTTATTAAGAACTTTTAATTCAAACTTTAACTTTGATTTTTCTTAAAATCTTTTCTATTTTTGAAATAAATAACAAAAGAACCTTGTTATTTATTGAATCCTACAAAACGTATTAATGTCTACTCATTTTAGCTCTTATGTTTACACTACCTTTTTTGTGAAAAATAAAACACTCTAATTCATTTAATGTATAACTCTTAAAAGTTACTCAATTTCTGAGTTAAGATTAAATAAATTTCAAACAGATACAATGAATAAATAAGATATTCATTAATTATTTTAAATTGAAACATCATTAATTATATCAATTTATGATATTCTTATTGATCATTATTTATTGAATATGAATCTAATTCTAATTATTATATTGATTCTAATTCAAATGTATTTTTATTGTTATTAAAGAGATATTATACATGTTATTTTAAATAATGTTTTAATTTATTAATTGAATATTTATTCATAGTTCTTATGTTGGTATAATATGAAATGAATTTTAATTATAATAATATTATTTATTGTTATAATTCATTTATCATATTATTATGTTCTTCTTCTAATTTATATTCTATTTGTATTATTCATATTATCTAATTCTTTAATTTTTTTATTATTTATTATTAACATTGTTAAGTTATGTTAATAAAATTATTTAATTAATATGATAATGATTATTATTTTCTTCTTCAATCTCTTTAAATATCAATAATCAGTATTATTGATACTTTCTAATTATTTCATTCATTTATTTTAATTTGATAAATTAGATTATTTGTTTATGTTTGAATATTAATTCTTTCTCTTTTCTATTTCATCAAATTCATTTGTTTCTCACTTTCTTATCTTTTATTTCTCTTATTAAATTTATTAAATTAATCATTTCATCCTTTGAACATCATTTCATATCATTCTTATTTATTTATACTTCTATTCTACTAACTCTTAATTCATACATCAAATATATTGAAATTACAATGTTATTTATTGAATATCTTTTATTTCTATTTTGTATTCTTATTGAAAATGTTTGAAAATAATGAAAATGAAAGTAAATTACCATTTGTTGAATTAGAATTCAATTTATTCATTCTTCTTTAATTAATTTATTCATTTCTTTTTCACGAAATCTTGTATTTGTACAAAGAGTATTTTTAATGTTATAACATTTCCTGAAATGTTCATATCAATGAATATTTATTTGTACTCATCAATGTATTCCCATTTATTCAATCAATTCATTCTTTGTATTACTATTCTTGTAAATATGTTCATGTTCTTTTTCTTGATTCAAAAACTCTTTGTTCATAATTATTTTCAGGTGGAGAGATTCCAACAGTTGTTAATCCAATATCATTCAAACAATATTTACAATTGCCACCTCAATGTGAATGTCCAGTAAATACAATTTGTATTGCTTATTTATTGTATTTATTTACTTCATTCTTTGTAATATTAATAAGATTATTATAATTGATTGGAAATGCTTTTGACCAAAAGAATGACATTACATAACTCACTTTTTGAACTGTTTGTTTTGTAGATAATGAAATGAAATAAACATTTTGTTAAATTACACTAATAAAAACAAGATAATATCATCATAATTTATTATCAATTCTATATTATTACAATTAGAATTTGAATTAATATGTACATGATGTTGAGTATTTTCACTATCATAATAAAGAGTGATGAAATTATTTATTTTTTCAATGAAAATGAACATAGAAAATAATAAATTAATCAAAATATATTGATAATAGAATAATAAGATATAATGATAGAAAGAGAAATGATCAAAAGAAAGAAGATTAGAAATAAATAAATATAATATTCATAATAATGATGTAATAAAGAATATAATTAAAAAGAATACAATAACAAAGAAATAAAAGAGAATATAAATGATGATAGAGTTTGTATTTGATAATAATATGAAATGAATAAGAGTTATCTTTTTATATAAGAATGGAATTATTTCATTGTATGAATTATTGAAAAGTCATAGAGAATTAGTGTTTTATAGTTCTGAAAACATAAATTATAACATGAGTATGAACATTTCATTCAATAAATCATAAACTCTGATTGTTCAATTTTATGAATAGTTAAAAATTAATGAATCATTACAAACATCAACACACAACATGGAATTTATCATATTCATTTTTTATCATTCATAATAATTCTGTTTATTCTTTAACACTTTATTTCTCATTATCAAAACACAATTAATCAAATACCAATAATTTAAATGAAAACTAAATTAATTATCTCAACTTTAACCATTTTTGTGAATGAATGATAATCATATAATATAATAAAGATTAATTGATAATATTATTTATTTTATAATAAATTTTATTATTAAAATATGAAATGAATATGATATTCATTTATGCTGTAATTTGTCAATAAAGAAATAATTCTAACACAACATTATCAATTGAATTATTATATAACTCAATAATAATATAACTATTGAAATTACAAATAAAATTAAATAATAAAAATAATAAAAAAATAAGAAATAGAAACATGAAAAACCTTATAAGAAATTAAATTTTTATTATTGTAGTAATACTCTCCATGTGATAATGAGGTTAGCTTAAATTACAATGGAAGTAGAGCTGTTCAAAAAAAACATGAACACCCACTCTTCAGTGTAAAGAAAAGTTGCTGACATTCATAATAATAAAGCCCTTTTCTTTTTTATTTAATGAGATGAGGATCTGTGAAATGTTATTCATTATGTCTCGATCTGATCCTCAACTTCTTAAAGAATTTCTCATTGGCTGTATTCAACTAAAACAGAAAGTTAATGCAACTAAAGAAGTTGTTAATCAAATTGCACTTAAAAGTTCTTATACAAACACTACTTTAAAAACAAAACATAGTGAGGTTAATATCATTAGTCAAATGGTTCAACAAACCAAAGAAGAGACAGTCACCCTTATGAGTGCAACAGAAACAACAATGAATAAATGGAGTTCAGTAATCACAGAAATCCAATCTCCTTCAAGACAAAACAATTTCCCTTCTTTTGAACAAGAAGAGAAACGACTACTTAATGCCCAAACAAAAGTTGAAGATATGAAACGAATTGTTAATGCTCTTAACTCATCTTCTAATGATGGTGGTCTCCAAAGTCTTATTGAACAAATAAAAGCCACCAATGAAAGAATTCAAAAACTTGAAACTACTACTACATCCACCCTTGTCCCAATTAAAATTAAATCTGAACAACCTAAATTTGAGATTCGACCAAGAAATGATATTGATGACATAAAGGAATCATTTACTGCTTTCAAAACAGAAATGGACAAGATGGCAGATATAGAGGAGACATGGAGAAAGATGAAAAGTCAAACTGAAGAAGTGAAAAGACTTCAAGAACAAATCATAAAAGAAAAACAAGAAAATGAAAAACATTTAAAACAACTCAAAGAAGAAGCTGAAACTAAGAAAAAAACACAAACAATTCAAAGCATTCCTTTAGAACAAAAAGAAGTTATTGAAAACAAACAAAAGACTCCAAAAATTGAATCTATTCAAGAACCAAAGCCTTTGCCTCATACTGAAACAATACCAATCACTAATTCAAATCCATTCAATCAAATACAAAACCCAACTCTCATACAGAAAGAAAAAACTACACCACAGATTGTACAAAATAACACTCCAGCAAAACCTTTTCAAGACCAAGTTGTACAACAAAAAACTCCACTAACTCAACAAAAAACAATTGTATGGGGAAACTCAGTCCAACCACAAACTAATTTACAACAACAGCAACAACAAATTTCACAACCACTAGAAGTCAAACAGACAACAGCCCAACAACAAAAAGATAACTGGAAAGAACAACCTCAACAAGGGACAAGACAATCCAATACCCAACAACAAGGAACACAACAACAACCCAGCACCCAACAACAAAACGTCCAACAACAGAACACACAAACACAACCTCAAAGAGACATATGGGGGAATCCAATACAATCAAAAACCGGACAACAACAGCAACCAAACACTCAAACACAACCTCAAAAGGATGTTTGGGGAAATCCAGTACAATCACAAAACAAAACATCACAAATTGGACAACCACAACCTCAAAAGGATGTTTGGGGAAATCCAATACAATCACAAACTGGACAACAACCAAACACACAAACCCAGAAAGACATATGGGGAAATCCAGTACAACCACAAAGCAAAGCACAACAAAATACACAACCACAACCTCAAAAGGATGTTTGGGGAAATCCAATACAATCACAAACTGGACAACAACAGCAACCAAATACACAAACACAACCCCAGAAAGATATATGGGGAAATCCAATACAACCTCAAAACGGTCAACAACAACCAACTGGACAGCCACAAAAGAATGTCTGGGGAAATCCAGTACAATCACAAATTGGACAACCTCAGAAAGACATATGGGGAAATCCAACACAATCACAAATTGGACAACAACAACCGAACACACAAATCCAACCCCAGAAAGACATATGGGGGAATTCAATACAACCACAAAACGGTCAACAACAAAATACCCAAGTACAACCTCAAAACAATATGTGGGGAAGTTCAGGTCAATTCCAACAACAAAATGGAATTCAAAATCCTTTTGGACAACAATCAACACCCTTCAATCAATTTCCACAACAACAAAATCAATTTTCTCAATTCTCTAAATTGGCAAATGGTTCTACTAATACACAAATGAATTTCAGTCGTATTGATCCTGCTGCTAGAGCTGCAGGTATTCAACAAACAAATCCACTTGATGCTTTCAAGAATGCAGGATTATTTAAATGAATTTTTAAGAAAATTATTTTTAGAAAATTATTTTTAGAATAGATACTTTATCTCATTCACTAATCTTGAAAATAGAAGTTGATGAGTGATTGTGTTACATCAATATCATATAACTATTTGTTCAAAGTACTTCTTGTTGGAGATCCTAATGTTGGAAAAAGTTCATTACTCTCACGATATATTGATAATGTATTCAATGAAGATACTACTACATCTATTGGTGTTGATTTTAAATTTAAATCTATCTTTATTGATAATGTAATTGTCAAATGTCAGATATACGATACGGTTTGTTAACTTTTTATGTTCTAAATCAATAACCATTTACAAAAAGGCAGGACAAGAAAAGTTTAGAGAAATAGGTAATTCATATTACAATGGAGCACATGCAGCTCTGTTAGTATTTGATGGTGGGGACATTTCTACATTCCAAGGGCTTGAGATATGGCTACAAGATATCAGAAAATATAACACCAATATCAAAATACTTCTTGTCTGTAATAAATGTGATCAACCAGTAAATATCCCTGAAGGTACTATTAGTTTATATGCTAAAGAAATCTCAGAAGAAGGAAAGTGGATAAAAACATCGGCAAAAAATGGAGAAGGTGTTACTGAAGCATTTGAAACGGTGATTAGATTGTTATTACCAAAGAAGAATGAAGGAAACTCAATTGCAAAACATAAAAAGAAGTGCACTCTCTTTTAAAAAATTATTTAAAAGAAAAGAAAGATAAAATCAAAGAAGTATAATTTAGTGTTTTGCTTCAAAATTTTTGCTAAAGGCACAAAGAGCTGGAACTCCTCTTACTTCATTTGTTTGCATGTTAATTTTGATCAAATGAAAATCACTATAAAGGACATCAATTTGACCTAAATACTTTGCTTGGACCGAACGCTTATTTTTACAGTAATCACAACAGTCATTAACAGGTAAAATTTGATTAACAATAATGGAATTAACATCCATATTTAGATTCATTAATTCTTGAATAAGTCGTTCAGTTTCATACAATGGTAAAAACTCCGGAATAAGCACAGGAATAAAAGTAGTCAAATTGGGATTTGTAAAATCTTTAACAATTTGTTCAGAAGTTTTAAGCATGTCTTCCATTTTAGGTTTTAGTTCATTAAAGTTAATATTTGTTCCAATTATTCCACCAAATTGACTCATCATTGGACCAAATAATTCTTGTAGTTTAATAACTTTCTCTAGCATATCTCTTAAAACTGAGGGTAAAGATAAGAAACGAAGAGTGTGTCCTGTTGGTGCAGTATCAAAAAGAACAAGATCATAATTCATTTGTTGTGCTTGACTATATGATGAATATATAATGTTAACTCTGTTATTTAGGCCATAACAAACTTAATTATTTTAGAAAAGGCAATAGCCTCATCAATACCTGGAACTGATTTAAACATTCCTACCATTCCAGTAATTTCTGAAAGTAACCCAAATTCTCCGTTTTGATTGGTTCCTTGTTCAACCCCATCAAACATCCCTTTCATTGCATCTTTGACATCGACTTCCATGACAGAAAGATTTGGAACACCAGGAACAGCTTTAGGCTCTGCACCAAATTTAATGTCAAAAGCATCAGAAGTATTATGAGCAGGGTCGGTAGAAATAATAAGCACTTTCTTTTGTGGATTTCTATTGGCAATCAACACACCAAGGCTGCAAGATGTTGTAGTTTTTCCTACACCACCTTTTCCACCAACAAACACCCATTTAAGTGTTTGAGATGTAATAATGTGCTCAAGATTATTTGGAGGGCTTAAAGACATTGATATAGAAATGAAGGAAGTTAAGATTATTTTAATTAATAGGGATTATTTTTGATGGACCACGTGGAAGGAATAAATAAGAAACAGTGACGTTTCGTCATTTATTATTTTTAAAGTTTTTAAACTTAAAAAGAGGAATTATTTTGATGAACTTTGGAAATGATGATGATACTCTCAAAATTTGTATGGTTGGTGATTCTTGTGTTGGTAAAACGTGTATTGTTAATAGGTTTGTAACAGACACATTCAACTCGTATGAAAGAGAAACTATTGGAGTAAATTTTATTTCAACTATGGCACCAATTAAAGGACAAATGCTCAAAGTAACAATATGGGTTTGTTGTCATTTTGCTGGTACAACTAAAAGTAACAATAACGTAGGACACTGCAGGACAAGAGAAATTTAGGTCCATGATTGATTTATACTTTAGAAAAGCAGTTGGGGCTTTTATTGTTTATGACGTAATGTTAAGAGATTCATTCCAACACTTGAGCTATTGGATAGAAAGGGTAAGAAGTGTTGAGCCAGGTGTAAAGATCATAATCATTGGTAATAAAATTGATAAACAAACAAAGATAATTTCAACAAAAGAAGCAGAAAGATTCGCAAACGATAACCATTGCAAATTTATGGAGGTATCTGCTTTAGATGGAACAAATATTAAACAAATGTATCAAACAATGTTTGATTCACTTGATCTCCCTCTAGTCCAAAATAACCCAACAGTGCTTTTGGACAATAAACAATCAAATGATAAATCAGGGTGTTGTTAGTATTAAATCCTTCAAAAACCAAAAGAGAAGTTCGTTCAGAAAAGAGTCTTTCATTTAATTTTGTAAGGCTTCAATCATATCTTCACACAAATAAAGAATCCACATAATTGCTTTATAACAATTTTCGTAATATAACATTTCTTTAAATGATAAGAAAGTTTGTTGAATATCTTTAAAAAGAGACAAATATGTTTTTGGAACTTTTTTAATATTAAGATTCTTTAATGTTAAAAGAATGAAAGAGAGTTTAATTTCTATTAATTCAGTAGATAAATTAGATACAAGAAATGTTAATAAGGATAATAAGACTTCTGTCTTAAATGTTGTTTGACAAAATATGTCTACAGGAATTGATTGAAGATAAGCAAGAAGTAATGGATGATTATTAATTAATAAAATTTCTTCTAAATCTAAAGCAATAGAACGATGTTTTGATTCTTTTATTTGAGTAGAAGAGTTTTGAATATTTAATTGTTCTACAAGTGAATTTAAATTCATTTGATTTTGTTTTAATTCATTAAGCATTTTTTGTTTTTCAATAATAATTTGTTTAATTGAAGGTAATAATTGTTCTGTAGTTTGTATTTTAGTAAGAATACGAGCACTATCTATTTTTTGCATTTCATTGACAATGTTTTGAATTTTATCCATTTCAATTTGAGATTGTTCAATATCTCTTTGATATTTATGAATAAAAACTTTAGAGTCAATGTCTGTATATGTTATTAATTGAATTTGATCAGTATGTGGAATATAATCTCTTTTCATAATTATTGTATCTTCATCACATTTTTGATGTAATTCTTTTATAAATTGTTTTCCTTTAATAATTTTATCTAAAATATCTAATTCTATTTAATTAATATTACATTATTATGATTTCATTATTATGATTTAGTATAACAAACGAAATCTATTAACTTGTTCCATTTCAGTTCTACAATTTCTTTCTATTTGTTCTAATGGATTTACATTATATCTACTTCCATTTTGACCTCTTCTATTTGGTGTAGGACTTTGAGAGAATTTTGAAGGTGTAGAAGGATGACTCATAATGAAATGAAGATTTTAAGATAAAGATGTTATTTTGATATTATTATTTTCTGATTTTTTTACTTTTAAATCTTTTTTTTTTTTTTAATTAAATTAAAAATTATAAATTAATTCAATCAATTATTTTCATACAAATGTATGTTTATTTTGTTCAGTAGTCATTAAATATGCAGCTCGTTCATCTCCAACAAGTGATCTTAATAGAGAAGTATCCATATGATTATAAAGAATATGAACACTAGCATCATTAACACTTCCTGAAATCATATTAATAAATTCTGCAACATAATGAGTTGGTGTTGGAATTTCATAAAATAAAATGTGTTGAATTCCTTTAATTCTAAATCTATTAAAGAAATGAAAACGTTCAGTAATAACAAAGAATTCCCATTCATCTTCATGATAAAATCTTGAACGAGCAGAAGAAATTGCTTTAGTAGATGAATATTCACATAAACAAATACATCTAAAATTTTCAGTATTTAAATATTGTTTAACTCTTAAATAATCAAAATAACTTGGAATATATAATAAAGTTTTAGATTTAATACCATCTGAATAACCTTGAAGAAATATTTTAGTAAAATAATCAAAACGTTCATCAGGAGAATTCATTGGAGTTGTAGTTTTATATTTATAAAATGTTATAGGAATAGTTCTAATCATTTGAGATAATGTACCTTTTATTGTTCTTTCTGAAATTTGAATAATATGATTATTTAAACATAATCTAATTACTGAATTTAATAATGGTGTTTGATATCTAGAATAAATAATAGTTTGTCTATAATAACTTCCTTTTTCATTTATTTCATGTTCATAAACTCTTCTAATATCTGTAGCATGTTGTTTCATAGGTATTTTATTACATTTTTTAATAATTTCAATTAAATGAGACATATTTTGCATTTCCATAGTATCAATAGATTCTAAATACATTATTTTTATTGATGATAATATATCTTGTCCTTCTCCATTATTACTCTTTGCTATAAATGTTTTAATACCTAATGGTGATGCAATAATTAAATCACTTTCATAAAAATTTGAATAAAAATGAACACCATTCATTCCAAATTTTATTCCAACTCTAAAACAATCATCTTCATTTCCTTCAAAAATTTGATAAAATTCTTTTGGTTTCATTGTTTTAATTTCTAATGGAACATCTCTAAATTCTTGTGCAAATCTTTCTTCATTTACAATATTTTGTTGAAATTGATTTCCAAAAATTGTTAATAATGTTTTAATAAAAATAATTGCTGGTGTTTTAAATGGAAATAAAACTAATACTGTTGGTTTAACAAGTCCCATATCTCTTATTTGTTCTTCTTTATGTTCAAATGTATGTTTCATTCTTAATAATCTTATTTCTCTAATATGACATGCAATATGTAATGTTGTTAATAATCTATGTAATACAAATTCTTCATCATTCATATGTTTAATAATAAATGTATCTGAATAATTTCTTAATCCATTAAATTCTTTTATCATTAATTCATTCATTGTTAATTCATTAACTTTTAAAAAATCTTTAAATTCTTTCCAAAAACTTATTGGAATTGAAGATGGTCTATCATTCTTTTTTGTTAATATTTCATTAATTTTATAATTACTTTGAATTTGATATTTTTCATTTTTTTCTATTATTTTTAGTGGTTGTTTTAATGCAGCTTCTTCAAATGGTCTTTGAAGAAAACGTGATGAATTACAATTATCTTGAATATCTGTTGGTATTTGAGAAATATTTTCTTCTTCTTCAATTTTAACTTCTTCAAAAACATCATCATTTTCATCATTTTCATCATCAGGAATAACTCTTCCAACTTTTTCTATATTACTAACTTCATATTTTATTTTATCATGAGATTCATGTTCATTAAGATTAGGTTCTTTGTCTTTTAGTTTTTTTAAACCTTTCTTTGTCTTTTTACTTTGAGATTGATATTGTTGTTGTCTTCGTTTCATCTCAAATCAACTTTATTTTTTTAAACCCTTCTTTTTTTTTTTTTTGTGTTATGAAAAACGAAAATTTTATTTAATTAAATAAAATAAAAGAATTAAAAATATTACCAAAAAACAAAAAAAAAAAATAACAGTTTATTGGTTTAATATAAATCAAATCTTTTAAGGTTTAATGCAATACCAACAACATACTTCTGTCATTTATTTATTAGTTATTTTTCTTGGAGTTTCATTTGGACTCATTACTTTATTATATACTTATCAACGAACATTAATTCAAACATCATTTCTCACTTCAAAAACATTACTTGATAATACAACTATTGATTCATTTGCTTATTATAAAGGTGGGTATCAAATAATTCAACAAAATATAACATTAAATTTAAATGGAATTTGTACTGCTTCTGATTATCAATTAGAACAAATTTTTGAATTATTATCTCAACATCGAGGAAATGTATTTTTTAGACAATTTATTCCATTTTATTCAAATATATCAGAAAATATCTTATTGGCTGATACAATAATTGAATTAAATGGTAATTATAATATTAAATTATATACTAGTTGTTATATTCAAACAGGAATATTTATTAAACCTTCTTTAAATATTAATCAAAATAATGGAACTGTTACTATGTTTAAATGTTATTTAGCTATTACTAACTGGATTCAAAATGATATTAATTTATTTAGAAATTTAGTTAAACCTCATTTACTTGAAGCTTCTAGGTTGAAACTTGATCATTTACAACCAATTACTACACTCCAAACAATGGATCTTGTATTTAATTCAGAAAAAAGACCAATTTTTAGAGGTATTATTAGTGGAGATGGAGAAAATATCATCATTATTAAAGGTGTTTCATTTGAAGAAGAAACTCAAAAATTTCAAATTATGATTTTATTAAATATTTTTGTTATGGTTTATTACATTCAATCATGGATTCTATTATCTTCTGAATCAAATGATACTCCTCCAACATCATTTATATCTTTATCTCTTTTTCCAGTATAATTTATTGTTTATTTCTTTATTTATTTGGTAAGATATATTTTATTTATCAATATATTTGATAAAAAAAAACAATTTTTATTAATTATGATTGATTGAATTTTATTATCAATTGCTAAGTTTATAAAATGATTTAAGTTCATTTCTCTTTATTAGAAATCATTTCATAATACTCAAACTACATTTTTTTTGATTATATTTGAATTCTTTTGATAAAAAGTTGAAAAAAAAAATAGAATTTAATTTAAAAGTTAGTATTAAATCTCTCTTTATATTTCTTAGTGTTTTATAAACACAAATTCAATTTATTTTATTAATGTTTGTTGATAAAATATCTTATTGATTATTGTATAATAATCATTGAATTTCTCATGTTTTTTCTCATATAAAATCTCAATTCTCTCATTAAATTTGTTTTGTACTTGTTTTATGAGTAAATCAATAAAATTCTATTTTTTTTTCTTAAAGAGTTGTTAAGAGTTTATATTTTATAATATTACTATCTCTTCAATGCAAATAAATAAAAGATAATATCAACCTTATCAATCATAATTCTTTCAAAACATTTCTTTCAATGATTTTAATAACAAAAAATAAGAAAAATGAACTTAAAAAATAAAAGAAACGTTTAAGAATGACAAACATATCAGACCTAAAAGAACAATACGAACAAGCAAATAAAATGAAAGTCACCACATTACCTGAAAAAATTGCACCAATATCTGAAGAAATAAAAGAAAAAATAAAGAAAATGTTTGCAAGAGAAAAAAGGACAAGAGGATTAAAATATATGATGCATGGAAATGATAATCTTCTTCGATTAAAAGAAGAATTATTTGAAGGATATAATAATATTGATTCAAAACAAAAAGAAAATAAAACAATAAAAACACAAACAACACATGATAATAGTTATTATATTATTATGCCATCTGTTTCTGCTCCTTTAAATCTTGATAATATTCAACAATTTATTAAACAAACAAAATATATTAAAAGTTCATTATGTGATACAGTAAATGGTGTTGTAGATATTACATACCAAGGAGTTGTTTATCATTTTATTAATAAACCAACAAATGATATTCCTATAGATAGAATTGTTGGAGTATTTTTAATTGATGAAGATTGGCAATTTGAAGATTTACCATTTAAAACACCAGAAGAATGTACAAGTAAATGTTGTTGTTTTTATGTTTCATTAAATCATCAACAACTCCCAATGAAAGTATGGTTAAGACATACACAAATACTTCATGTTTGTTTAATTTATAAAAAGATTTTCTTTTAAAAAAAAAAAAGAAAATTAATACAATAGCTTGAAACAGATAATAAAAGAAATTGGGAAGAATGTATTAATAATTTTTGGAATACATTGAGAAGTTTTATACATAACAAAGAAAGAGAATATCGTAGGTATTGATATTGATTTGTTTTGTTTAATCTTTTATAAGTTCTATTTCATTAATAAGAAGAAAATTAAAAAAAAAAAAAAAATAAATAAATAAATAATAATGAAGAGAGAACTTTTTAATTCTTTTAATTTTAAATGACGGTTAATTCATTCCAAATGACAGAATATATGGGTTTCCCTTTATTAGTTATAGCATCAGAACAAGGTATTAGATTTATTAAATATAAAAAAGAGTATTGTTGTCCATTACAACATGTTTTATATCCAATTGAAGGAATAAAACAAGTATGTTTATTTAATCAATACGTCTTATATTTTACTCACTCATACTCAAAAACAAGTTCTCCTAGTAGATTATTTTTCTTTAAACTAGAAAGTAATATTTTTGATGATCTTGAAAGTCCTAAAGAAAACCATGCAACAATTAAACAAAAAAAATCAATTAACATTAATTTAATACAAACACCATTAAATTCAAGAATTATATCAATGAAAATTATTGGAAAATATATTATTGTATTATGTTTTGATATGTTATTTTGTTTTGATCAAGAAATAAAATATGTCTTTTCTACTCCAGTTAATCATCCTAATGGTATGACTACATCACAATCAAGTATTAATATAATGTATACATCTAACAATCATTATTATGTTGATGAAAAAAAGTTTAAAGATAATAAGATACTTGATAATACCATCACTCATCAAGATTGTTATTGGAGAGAAACAGTTTCATTAATAATGAACAATTCAGGAGAATGTGATAATAATGAATATACTATTATTTCTAAGATTATTTCTTCTTCTATTGAAATTAAAATATTACAAGGAGTTAATGAAAAAAATAAATTTATTATTAATAGACCACATGATCCAACAATTCGATTTGTTGGTGCATATGGTAAAAGAAATAATAGAGTTATGTTTATTGGAATAAATAACTATATTTATAGTGTTATTATATCATTAGATAATCCTAAAATGAATAAAAAAGAAACAAAAGAACCTTTTAGTTTTGGAAAGTCAAGTAGTCTTATTACATTTGGAGATAAAAAAGCAGAAAAAGAAACACAATGTTATGTAAATATTTTCCATGGAAATGTTCAAACAATCTTTAGTTATGATTTTCTCACTAATAAACTTCAAAAAGAAATGACAACAATGATTGGTAAACTTTAAAATTTATTTTTTATTTAAAATTTCCATTGTTGTATTAATTTAGGTTAAATTGAAGTTAATAAATTTGAGGTCAAAACTCTTTTCATCTTCTTATTTCAATTAATAATATGAGTCAAGATTATCAACCTATGTTAATCTCAATGAGTGAAATCACTCCATCTTTACATTTATTTCTTTTAAATAATAATAATGATGCAGTTTGAATTAATTTCTTTTATTATTTTATTAAAATGAATTAACGTTAATAGCATGCCATAGATTCTTTTATTGATCAAATTATTAAAGTAAAATACATTCCATTACCTGTTGTTACGTTTGTTTTTATGTTAATAAAAGAAAAAAAAAGAATTTAATATTTAAATGTAATTTTATATAAAAAAAAAGTTAACAAACTATTAGTGTTGGTGCATTAAATCATTGTTATAAAATTATTTTTGCATTTTGGAAAGAATTAAATAAAGCAATTTCTTTTGGTTACTCTTCTCAATCAACTATAATTATTATGTCTCATATTTCTAATTGTGTTTCATAGTTTGTATTCATTTATATTTTATTTATCTTTAATAATAATAATTGTTAATCATTTAGTGAAGCAATTAAATCAGTTTCTTCACTTATTTCAAAGAATAAAAGTAGTATTTTATTACCAACATTTCTTATGTATAAAGCACTTTGTTTAGATACATTTGCCTCTTTAACTCAATTACTTGAAAAAATAAGAGAACAAAAAACTATTATTCAAACAATTCCTTTAACATTTACTGTAATATATGGAGTATTATTAACATCATTATCATATGCTCTTCCTTCTCTAAAAGAATCAATCCATTCTAATATTATTGATAGAGTAGATGATATTTCTTGTGGAACTCCTCCTTATGGAGAAACATCCCCAATGTTAGATGCTGACAAAAAGATATCTGGAAGTTCAATGTATATTAGTGATGAAGTTCATTTAAAAGAAATTCATTATATGCCTTTTAGGTCTAGAGGTGAGTTTGTTGCATCAGTATTAAGAGGATCAATTTTGTTTGTTTCTAAAACCAAATGTGAATCACTTGAATATTCTGATGATTTTCAAGACTTTATTAATGAATTTATTAAATGGAGGATATTATCTTGGAAATCAAATGAATGGAGAAATATTATTTATATTATGTGTGAAGATGCAATGATTAAAAAAATGCCTAAAGAATTTAATAAAGTATTAAAAATATATGCTCATTCAACTAATTTATATAACATTGAAAAAGTAATATTCTTATCTGATTATATTAAACGATGTTTAACATTATTAATTGATCTTCATCCAAATTTTATAATTGATGAATATTTAGATATTGAATCACTTTTAACAATTATTAAAATATTTATTACAACTGATAATGCAGAAGCATTAACTAATTTATTAGTATCACTTATTGAATTACTTCCTTATTTAAATGGTAATTCTCGTAAAAGAATTATATTTGATTTATTATTAGAACAATACTTTAGATATTTCTTTATGCATTGGTGTGATTCAGTTCAATTTGCTTTTCAAACCATTTTATTATATCGAATCACTCTTGCCCGTTTCTCTAAATTAGATTCTTTACATCCAAAAGAACTTCAATTGTATTCATCTCGCTGTAGAGTTAATTATAATTCTTTATCTTTTGATTGTAATGTAGTAAAACGATTAAATGAACGTATTGAATTATTAAAAGATATTTTAAAACACTTAGAACCAAATGACAAAAATTTCATCCTTTTAAAACGTTCCATGATAATCTTTAATAAAAGAAGAAAAGAATATGAACTTAACTCAAAAAAATATATTGGTGGTGCTTTACCTAAAATCTCTTTTTTTCGTCCAGAATCCTTGGAATAAACTTAGAACCTAAAGTCTTGTATTTTTCATTGTATTACTACTCATCACCTAAATACTCTTTGTTCCTTTTGGAAATAACTTAGTATTTTTTTGTTATTCATTCCACAAATGTTCCTTTGTTCCCATTGCCAAAAAAAAAGAAACACTCTTTCCTTTCATTGTTTTATCTTAAATGATCTTAATAAAAAAGGATTTTTAATAAGAGCCATTAGATTTTCTTATGTTGATTAGTTGTTTATGTCTTATCTTATTTCTGTACTTTGACTCATCTTTAATTTCGTTTTTCATTCTGTTGAATATCTTTTGCGATTCTATCTAATCTAAAATTAATTAATATCTTTTATTTTTATAAACATGAAGTGGTTAATTGATTTTTAAAGGATTATATAAATATTCAGATTATCTTGAAAATATCTTCAAATATTACAGTACTATATAGTGTTATGACATTCTTATTATAAAGTAAGTGTATTAATTAAACTTTGATTTAAAACGAAACGGTTAAGTCTAACACTGAATTGAGAAGAAAAGAGAATAATGATAAAAATAATTAAATTAAATAATTAAACTAAAATACTCGACATTTTTTTTAAGTTTTTAATTGATCAAGTTTTTTATTACTTCAACCCTCTTTACTTGATAAGGCTCTCTACTACTCTAATTAATCTTAAAACGGTTATTTATTATTGTCATTTAGTATTGTGTTATTCAAATTTATTTTTGTTATTTATAACCAAAAAAATAGTAGTTTTAACTAAAACTTTATTTTATTAAAAGAATAGTTATAATAAAATATTAAAAAATTAATGATAGTAAGAATAAAGAAAAAAACAAAAACTTCAACGAACTGAAATAGTTATAGACAACAAAGAGAGCATGAGTGAAACAAAACATCAATTAAGAGACGCATATTTAAAAATGAAATCCCTTCAGGCAGACTTAGATCATTTGAGATTGATTGATGGATATATTCATGAAGAGCAACAAGCCCTTAGATTAGAATTATCACGAGCACAAGAAGAAGTCAAAAGGGTTCAAAGTGTACCATTGCATATTGGTCAATTTGTTGAGATGGTAGACAAAGACACAGCTGTTGTAACTCTTTCTAGTGGAACAACACAGTTTGTTCGTATTTTATCTACCATTAATAGAGAACTTCTTAAACCAGGAACTTCTGTTGCACATCATAAACAATCAAACGCTTTAGTTGATGTATTACCACCAGAGGCCGATAGTGCCATTAGAATATTATCTAAAGGAGAGACACCAAATGTAACATATGCTGATATCGGAGGGTGTGACATCCAAAAACAAGAAATTAGAGAAGCTGTAGAACTTCCATTAACTCAAAGTGAATTATATAAACAAATTGGTATTGATCCACCACGTGGATGTTTATTATATGGACCACCAGGGACTGGAAAAACTATGTTAGCTAAAGCTGTTGCACATCACACTTCTGCTTCTTTTATCCAAATTGTTGGATCTGAATTTGCACAACAATACCTTGGAGAAGGTCCAAGGATGGTTAGAGATGTTTTCAGATTAGCACGTGAAAATGCACCATCTATTGTATTTATTGATGAAGTTGATTCAATTGCTACAAAACGTCATGATGCACAAAATGGAGCTGACCGAGAAGTTCAAAGAGTTTTATTAGAGTTGTTAACTCAAATGGATGGATTTGATCAAACAACCAACGTTAAAGTAATTATGGCAACAAATAGAGCTGACTCATTAGATCCAGCATTATTAAGACCTGGAAGACTTGATAGAAAAATTGAATTTCCATTACCAGATAGAAGGCAAAAGAGGTTAATCTTCCAAGTACTTACATCTAAAATGAATCTTTCTAAAGAAATTGACTTAGAAGATTATGCTTCACGTCCTGATAAAATCAGTGGTGCTGAAATAGCTTCTATTTGCCAAGAAGCTGGTATGCACGCAGTAAGAAAGAATAGATATATTATTCTTCCTGCTGATTTTGAGAAAGCTTACAAGAAAGTTGTTAGAAAACAAACACAAGCAATGGACTTTTACAGATAAATTGAATTTCTTTTTTCATAGAGGGGAAGGTGTAATATTTTATCAAATTTTTCTTAAATTGTTATTTTTTTAAGTAAAACAATAAATAAATTTATCAAAAAGAATAATAAAAAAAGAACTTAAAAGAATTATAATGTTAAAAATCAATAGAATTGAACTTCTCCTTCTTTTTATTCTATTTAGTATGGGTCAATATATTGGACTTTTTCCAAGTAATCATGAATGCAGTATGAATGAGAGTTGTGTTGCATTAAAGAAAAATCAATTTACATATTATTATAAATATAAAGAAGGTGATGAGCATTATGAAAGAATCAATTCAATATTTAGACAAATTGAAAAGGATTTTAGTTATTATAGTAAAACATTATCAAATGAAGGAAAGAAATATTTAGATCCAATAAGAACATGTTTTGGTCGTTTAAAAAATAGTTATAATTCATTTAAGAGTGAGAT